GTTACTCCACAATCTGTGCCCTCCTTTAGGTCACGGGACACCCAGGCAAGACAACCAGTTAGACTGATGAGTTTATTTGGGGTGGGATGGCGCAGGGTCCAAAGGCAGCCACTAGCCCACTCAGCCAGCGAGGCGGGGACAGATCCAGGATGTGGTCTCAGAAGTAGAGTGGGGGCAGGGGACAGGGAGGCTAAAATGATACATTTTCATGAATTTTCCCATAACTTTTGTACTTTTGCTTTTTATTTTTGACCTTTCTTCTCCCAAGAATCTTAGAAGATTAAAAACAATCTTTAGAATGTTTTAGCAGGTGATTCAAAACACATTACCGGCCTGCCATTCTGCCCTGGAATGCTGGCATTTCTTAAAAGGGTGAGGCTCCTAACTGCTCCACATCATGGGGTGAAAGTTACGTGGTCTTTAGCAAATCATTTAGCTCCCTGCACTTCCCTCTCCTATCAGTTAGAGAAAGGTCTACACCCTGTTCCTGAACATTCTCACATACCAATCAGAATTAATTCATAAAAAAAATTTTTTTTGAACCAGAAAAAGTGCTGTAGAATGAATTTGTATGCCTCGTACAGATCATTTTTAGGAGCCTGTTCGATTTGACTAACAATTCAAAGAAAAAGAATGCATGACTATTCCATGATGGACTCATAGTACTTTCTTCACTTAGATTACCTTTCTCATCCTCTCCACATCTCTGTTAACAGTTGGGTCGGACATCCCATCATCCCCATTTTACAGTTGCAGCAATGAGTGCCTGACCATTGCCAGCAACTGAGATGAGAGTAGGACTTAAGTCTCTCATCCGAATCTGAGGTTCATTTTACCTCCTCCTTATGGCCAAATTGCTACCTCAAGAACTACCTTTGGCCTTAGTTCCCTCAGTTATAAAAATAGGAACATACCGTATTTATACAAGGTGATTGCTCTTCAAGTTAAGATTTTATTATATCAGGAATCAGAGCCCTGAGTTATTTTGGCATTAAAATGCTTTATATGGTTAGCAAAATATTAGAAAACAGTTTCATCTAATAGGGGATAGAGCAGCTATTTGTGAACTCTGCCTATGAAGCAGTGGGACTACTGAGTCATCCCTAACCTATGATGTGGACTTTAGCAGATAAATCTGAAGGCAGAAAATATTTCCAAATCCACTTTGATTCAGAACAATACTGGGAAATTTTTGAGCCCTTCTTTTATGGTATTTCCTTGATTTAACTATGGACTATTTTCTTCACTTTGCTTCTCATATATTTTTTAATTTATTGAAATGATTCATTGCCATAAGAAACTTGTGGATCTTTTTCCCTATCGTAAATGTAAATTGTTTGGAAATTATTCTAAACTATTATATTCAGGGGAAAAAATCCATAGTGATGCTCTAGATTTAGCCTTTAATGCCTTGATAGAAACTAGAAGAGATGCTGAGGCAATGTTATTAAAATACCATTTGTTTCCCTGCTACTTGCTTGACACACAACAGATATCAGGAAATGTTGCAGTTGTCACTGTAAGAAGATAAATTTTAGACTATTCATTTTTTTTGAATGTCAGTGAAGATTTTTTAAAAAATCTGTGCCCCTATTCACACGTTTTGACCTACAAACACATGATCATTAATTTTCATCTGTATTTTGTAGTCATCATATTCCAAAATGATTCACCACTGTATCTTTAATTCAAACACAGTACCTGGCATATAATTGGTGTTCAATCAATGCTGATTGAATAAGTATTGAATAAATTTATATGCAAGTTAGGACAAGAGAGCAGTCTTATTCTTTAACTAAGAAACATGAACAAAGATTTTTCCTATTTAATGATTAAAGTATTAGTGGATTACAAGTCTCCTAGAGAAAATCTGAAATGCATTTCTGCTCTTGAACCTTCTTTCTAGCCATTATTAATCAGAGAGTACCAGGTGAGAAGAGCCAGGAATTGCCAAGAGTAAAAAGGACAGTTCTGTCCAAACAGATGATGTTTACAGCCATGTAAAGTGGAAAGAGTGGCCTTCTTGTTTTTTAGAACACCTGTTTGGTCTTACCTACAAATAATTCAAATGCCAAAATTTATTACTTTAGATGTGGAAATAGCCTGTGAATACACATTCACACATTCAAGCTAAGATTATACTTAAAGTGCTTCCTGATGGTGATATTTAATTCTAAAAATGAGGCAGTCTGCAGTTCACCTTCTAAATCTAACATTGCAATCATCTTGGGTTATTTTTAAGTCCACTAGATGAAAAAGTGTAATAGGATGAGGTAGGTACGTTTATTTCAAGTTTCTAGAAGCAATTGTGTTCTCATCATGTTCTACTCTAGAATTCTTTTTGTCAACAAAGCAAATAAATATGTTTGTGAAATTTATGATAGTGTAAAGAGGAAAAGACTTGGCAGAACAAATTCTTTTTAAAAAACAAGCCAACATTTTGCCAACTTAAATGAAACTTTAGGAAATCAAAAAGAGGACAAGATACATTTAGAATACTGTAAAAACTTTTGTGAGGACAAATCTGTATTTTTAAGGGCATGTGTTTGTATTATAGCACTATTACTCCTACTCCCATTAAAAAGGTCCAATATAGTTCAATTGTTGGGTTATTTTTGTTCGTTTAGCAGAAACATTTAAATTTGATCAGATTTATTTTTTGAGAAGTTAGGTATGCACTTTTATATAGCATAAATCATTTATGCTATATCATTTATGCTATATAAATGTGCACATCTAACTCTTTAAAAAAGTTACATGTGTAAATTTATATAAAATATGTAAAGGCCTATATTCAAACTTTAATATTCCCTAACTTTCCTAGGGTCATTTCTTAAAAGTGTTGCCATTACTGCCACATGAAACTATGTAAACACATTTACCTATTTTCTTGTTTTAGTGTATAGTTTCTGTACATTGCTATCAATGAAACATTACAGAGGGCATAGTATTAACTTAAATTTGCATCATTTTAACCAATAATATAGCTTTCTCCTTGAGAACCAAACTCAGCTCTTTATGAGCAACATACTATGTATTATTAGTTAAGACCTGCTTTTTTCCCCAACATTCAAAGTTGTATAAAGTTATGGGGCACTTTAGCTTTAGCCTGATTCTCACCTTATATGAGAAAAAGTTATAAATGTGTTATTATGATTGGGCTTTTGTCTCTTCTTGGGCTTTTGTTTTGTTGGTGTTTTTTGAGAGGGCTTGGTCAGCGGTTGGAGGAGGGAAAAGAAATAGTGAACCTATTCTCTTACATAAGTGTAATCCAACCCTTTGCTGCTTATGCTTTTTGTTAGCTCCTTTGTATCATTTATTTGGGGGGCCTCATTTCCCCAGTGCGGTATTTTCTAAAACTGAAGAGAAAAATGAAGAATAGTGGAATATAGGAAAAGAGCTCAAAGCAGGGAAAATAGATTGAGTGTCATTCAATACTATTGTGAACTTGTGTCATTGCTTAAAAAGAAATTTGGATTCATTTCAATAACTAGACAAGTATTTAACCATTCAAGAACTCATTCATATGACTAAATGAGAATTCTTATTGATACGTATTTCTCAAAATAAGTCGAAGAGCTTACTTCCCCCACCAGTATATCATTTCCAGAATTATATTCTTGAAACATTTAACTAGAACACTCACTTAAGGGTAAGTATATCCTTTGCAGAATGACATTGCCACTCTCTAATTAGTTTTCTTAGATAGTATCTGAGAATATCATCCTTGTAATAAAAATTTTAAATTCTATTTGTTTGGCTCTGTATAGTGAGTCATTTTCTAGCTGTAGATGTGATCTCACAACTTAGATTTATTTGCTTCCTCTTTTTTATTTTTAAGAATGTGTGTTGCTTGGGATGAATGTATATTCTTAAAGTTTATAGAATATGTGGATATCATGTGTAGCACTACTACCTATAGATGAATTATACCATCTTATGGAATAAAACTTCAAGAAAAGGGCTCTAAAGTCTAAATCAATTTTATTCTATGTGAAAACCATTCAGACTTCTACTCAATCATGTTTCTCATCTTCAAATATTTTTTTTTTCTGTTTCAAACACTTGCACGATATCTTTAAACAATTCAATTTTTGGATGCTATGTAGAGAAATCATTATCCTTTAAAACAGTTAACAAAAATTCATGCATTCAGTTTGCCTTGGGGAGTTAATTTCCTATTTACTGAATTGTACACAGAAGAAGATATTATTTTGGAAATCTTATAAATCCCCCGTTTTGGCAAATCAGTATAGCGCACTGGCTAAGGGCACAAACACTGGAACCAGATTACATTGGCGCTGATATATGCTAGGTCTGCAACCTCAGTAAGATTATTTAATCTTTCTCTGCCTCAATTTCTTCTGCTGTAAATTGAAACTATTTTACCCTACATAGGATTGTTGTGAGGAATGAATTAATACATATAAGTAGTTAGAACAGAGTTAGCTACTATTACTAGTACTATTATTCATTGTTATCATCATGTAAGTCTTTCTGGAAAGACCCAAGCACTCTTTCCTAGTAGGAAGATTTCTTTGCATATGTAAACCATTCTTTTGCCGTGTGTATCGACACATTAGCAATACTTCAGAAAAAGAATCAATCGCATTGACTAGAAAGAAAATACTACATTTATTTCAAAGTCTTGGTCAATAATGCAATTTTATTTGCTGTGTTCATTGTAAGTCTGGTCTTATGAAGAGTTTTCATTACTACAAGTGCTTTAATGTGGCTGCTGTAATTGTATAGGTTACATAGGTTTTAAAAGTTTTATAAATTTGGTGAGTGATTTTGCTTCTGAGAGTGACATGGTTCTCTTGAGTGGTTAGTTTAAGAGCAACACCTTAGGCCCTACTTGTTCCAAAGAAGAAGAATATTTGGTTTCCTCTGCATTCCAAGGGAAACATCTGCTTTGGGAGGAACAGCCTTTTAGGCTTCAAGCCTTTCAGACACGAAAGATAACGTGTTCATCATTTCTCCATTAATTTGCTTTGCAGCTTGCAGTTCCCCACAATGATGAATGGACCCGATTTGCCAGGACTCTGGTGGAGATTCGCGCTAACAGAGCTGACAGCGAGGAGGAGGGCACCGTGGAGATATCCACCTAGTGGAAACGAGCCGCCCTCACCGCAGCCCCCCCCTTCACATCCTGGAGCTCAGCGCCTGCAGTCAAGCCCATTGTATTCCGTGTCCATTCAGTATCAGTGTTGCTGTAACATTTTGGGTGCCATGTTGTGCCAGCTTCGCTCCAAGTATTCCAGATATATCCTGCCATGCTTTCCACTGACCTGAAATTCACCAGAGCATTTCTATCTTTATATTTCTGTCTCAAAAATGAAGGAGGGGGGGCCTTTTACGGGTTTAGTTGTTGCCTTTTAACTACTTAGTAGCTGTATTTAATAGCTGGAAACCTCTGGTTAAATTTGTGCTTACATGCACTTCTGGAGTAGTCCTATTAAATCCATATGAAGCCAGATATGATTGGGTGCAGATGTGGTATGCCTCATGATATGGTACAGGGCCAAAGACTTGAGATGTGGTGTTTTACATGGTGACTCACATTATGAATGGATTTACTAGAAGAACATTGCTGTTCCTTATTTATTGTAGTGTGCTGCATGGAACATATTTATTTGAAAGCATTAAAATAAACGATCCTAGAGCATGTGTATAATGAGAGGACTGTATTCTCTCTGCTGCTGTTGAGGTTACATTAAGTTCCAAATAACAATTACAGTATGCCAGTTCCACTGAAGACATGAAATCTTTAGAGGTTTGTTGCAGTGAACGGAATGAATTTTAATGCCTATTATTTCTAGGTACTTTAACAATATTTCAAATATAGTTGACCATTGATACTTGTCATTGATGCTAACACAGTCTGACAAAAGTCTGCAGTTCCTAAATGTGACACCAGTGTTGCCAATAAAATGTTCCAAACCAGGTCTGCACCACTGTGGGTAAATCCTTTGCTTGGAGAAAGCCTAACTCGAATTCTGCTGTGGCAAGGGGTGGGAGAGATACATCAGGGCCATGTTAAAGACTGATCATGAATTTATTTTTGCAGTCAACCTGGCTGGACTTAAACCAAGACCTCTAGTTTTATTTTTATGAGGGAATGTGTGTGGTTATTTTTGGAAAGCTCCTCCTCGGCTCTTTCAGCAAAGCCACCCTTGCCCAAAGACAATTTCAAACTGTGGACTAAAAAGATGAATTAAGATGAACAAACACCAAATGTCCTACACGTTTCTTTTTTAAAAAATTTATACCAGAAAAATGATGTTTATTACTATTGGACTAGGAAATATGTCTATAAACAACTTTAATAAAGCTTTTTTCAAAAGGTCACTTCATGCCTAGAGAAAATGAAAATAAATAGTGGTTGAGTCATGAAAAACATTTGAAGACAGGCTTTCGGCTTTTTAGGAAGGGAATTTCCTTCCATTGGTGCTTTGTTGGTAGGGATTCCTTGAACTGTAAGATTTCTTTTATTTTTGAAACAATGGGGTATACTTTTCTCCAAGTGCCCCAGACTTTTTGGCACCAGGGACCAATTGCATGGAAGACAATTTCTCCATGGACTGGGGTGGGAGAGATGGTTTGGGGATGATTCAAGTGCATTTATTGTGCAGTTGAACCTCTCTGTTAATGACGATCTGTATTTGCTGCCACTCCCCACCTCTAGCATCACTGTCTCAGCTCCACCTCAGATCATCAGGCATTAGATTCTCATAAGGAGCACACAACCTAGACCCCTCACATGTGCAGTTTACAGGAGGGTTCACGCTCCTGTGAGAATCTAATGCCATTGTTGATCTGAGGAGGGGGAGCTTACGCGGTGATGCGAATGATGGGGAGCAGCTATAAATACGGATGAAGCCTTGCTCACTCACCCACTGCTCACCTCCTGCTCTGCAGCCGGTTCGTAACAGGCCATGGACTGATACTGATCAGTGGCCCAGGGGTTGGGGACCACAGTCCTTCAGTACCTAGATATTGAAATTCCTTGTAATACAAATGAAAATTTTACAGATAAAAAATGAGTGTCTGAAATAGGTTTAAAAAAATCCAGTGAAAAGTAGTAGGGGAAAAACTGTTCACAAACATACCCTACAGTACCTGAGAATAAGTCCACACCCCTTGAGTTGTTATTATAGATCAAACTTTGAATGATTCAGTGAGTGAAGCCTGTGAAGAGCTCAGGACCCGAGTCACTGGCAGTAGGCACATGAAGAGCTTATGTGCTTATCTGTCCCACTGTGGTGGCTGGGCTCCAAGACAGTCCACCATTCCTGTGTAGTGCCATCCCATGTTGAATCTCGGCTGACCTTGTGTAACCGAGAGAATACAGGGGAAATGATGCTATGTGGTTTCCAGGATATCTTAGTTCAGGCTGCTATTGCAGAATACTATGGTATTCACACTGAGTGGCTTAAACAACAGAAATTTATTTCTCACAGTTCTGGAGGCTAAGAAATCCAAGATCTGGTATCTGATGAGGATGTTCTTCCTTGTTTGCAGGTGGCAATCTTCTCGTTGTATCCTCACGTGGTATATACAGAGAGATAGGATCTCTCTCTTATCTTTTCTCATAAAGACACTAATCCTATTCATGAGGGCTCCACCCTCATGACATAATTACCTCTCAGAAGCCCCACCTCCAAAAATCATCACATGAGGATTTAGGCTTCAACATACGAATTTGAAAGGAACATAAACATTCAGTCCATAGCCCAGGACAAGGCGTAAGAAGAATTACAGCTTCCACCTAGGTCTCTCGGCACACTCACTCCCGGTGCCTGAACTACTGTGTAAGAAGTACAACTGCCTTCAGACCTCCAGGCCACACAGAAGGTGACCACAGAGTGGCCATGTAGGTAGAGAAATACCAGGCAGTCCAAAGCCATTCAAGTTGTTCCAGCTGATGTCCCACATAAAATGTGGTGGCCATGAAAACATGCCTCTCAGATCTCCTGTTGCAGAGAACATAATTGACTGACAGCTTCAGCTGCTTTGCTTTGAAATCCATCACCATGTTTGAACAAGGCCACGCTTCCACAGGCTGCTCCCAGCTAAGACCAAGTATGGCAGAGATACTAAGGAGGCCTGTACCTGGGAGGCACGAGACTTCTCTGAGGTAACTTTGGCTCAAGGACTCCTGGTCAGCACTGCTAAAACTTTGTTAGAATTGTGCTGCAATGTAAACCTACCCAGCCAACCAACCTAGCTTCCTTCCTTCCTTCCTTCCTCCCTTTCTCCTATATTTCCCTCCCTCCTTCTGGATATCTGACCAACATCATTGTCTGATGGCTGTCCTGCAAAACCTAGCTGGAATGTGCTAGGCCTGATAAAAGAATAAAGAGATTATACATCAAAGAATTGCAAGAATTAGCATGTACCATTAGGAGCCAGGGGAGTAGCACTGGGATTGGATTTTGAGGTATTTGATCAAGGGGGCCAGGATGTACATTTGATAAGGAAGAGTTCATTGACTTTGAGGAGTTTTGGAGGGAGAGGGGTAGGAGATAATGTGATTTTATACTCTGGCAAGGACCCTAGGACAGAGTGGCTCTTAGAAGTCTGAAAAAGATGTAGCCTACATTTACTTATGCCTGAGTTGCCACAGTTGATAGTACAGGAAGGAATAAAATGAGGGAAATGGATATGTTAGGGATGGATATATTATTTAAGGCCAGATGACACACCCAAGGGTTACGTTACATAGGAACACTCAGAGTAGACACTTTTCACCAAAGCCATTAGCAATGAGCTGGTAAGAGAGGCATAAATAGCCTCTCTAGGAAGTTTCGTGGTGGGTTTCCTCTGCAGCACAGGGCTGATGGTAGGAGAGGCAATCACAGAGTGGGGCTTGCTAGTATCCAGCGGGACGATGAGACCCCAGAGTAATAGTGGCTAGTTGGTGGCAGCTAACCACCAGGAGTCAGGAAGCCACAATTATAGTAATGACCAGCTAGATGAGAGGGGTGGCCAAAGAGGCTTCACCCATAGGAAGTTTGGGGAATAATTAATAGAACATGGCATCCCTGGGGCAAAATAGACAGGCAGCCAAAAGGATGTTGCTTAACATCTACGGCCAAAAACATAAAGGCAAGAATGGAGGAGCAGGAGGCTGATGACTATTACTACCTCAACAAGTCACATTCCTCTGGTCGCTATGTAGACCTGAGCCAATTTTCCAATCCAGAACCCATTGACTGAAGATGTGCTGGGTTGTTAGGAGGAAGGACGCCATTGCAAACATATGGCGTGGTGATCTCCCCAGCCCTTCCCCAAAGGGACCTGTGGTCATTTATTCGGGTGAACCTAAAATGCAGAGAGAGAAATCCAGATATTTGAAGACTATTGGATACAACAGTCAATAAACAATGTGGATCTGAGTTCACACAGTATGGTGGCTTATGGTGATAAGGTAATATTAATATAATGAAGTCTTTACTAAAGTCTCAGCTGCAGTGGGCTCACTGGGTCTATGGAACCTCACAGTGGCTATTTCCCTGAGTGTTCGGTCAGAACTGATATGCTTGTGTCAGGTACCTGGCCTCTAGGGTAAGAGCTCTCCCAGACGGGAAAGCCAAGTGGAGAGCTCTGAAACTGCCACACTCCCACCTCCCCCTGCCAAGATAGTAAATTTCACAAATATTACATCTCAGGGTAGAGGTAGGAGGATGGTGGGGATTAGTGTCACTCTTAAAGGCCTAAAAGATGTGGAGTGGTGGTCCCTAGGATATATCCTTTATAAATTAAATGGATCTTGGACAATAACAATGAGCACAGCAAGCTCAATCAAGTAGGATCACTGATCACAGTTGCTGTGCTAGATGTTGTATCATTCCTGAGACAGATCAATAAGGCCTCTGGTACATGGTGTGTGGCCATTGATTGATGAATTCATTCTTTTCCGTTTCAACTATATAAGAAGATCAGGACCAGTTTGCACTCATGTGGGAAGAACAATATTCGTTCACAATTTTGCCTCAGGAATATGCTACTCTCTTCTCCTCTGTAATCCTCCAAAGAGGTCTGGACTGCCTGAACATCCACAGAACATTATACCAATTCATTACCTCAATGGCTTCACCCTGATTAG